CCCCCCCCCCCAACGCTCGGAGACAATTGATCTTATTTTCGGTGCAACCAATCGCTGCAGTACACGTAAAAGCCTTTCACTCTGTACTCTGCTCCTTAACACATGTGCTACCGTTGTTTCGTGTTTTCAGATCAGTACGAGTTACGACATCGAAGCAAACAGGTAGCACAAAAAAGTTCTCGACTATAACCAGTCGGCAGCAGTTAGTGATCGATAAGCGTAAAGGTATTCGGGCGCGAGTGTAAAACAAATCTATCATGGAACAATTGAGCAAGAACAACGTCATCAACAAAAAGCTGGACGTGCCGCTGCCCCGATCCGAGCAGATTCTCCAGGCCTACATCAATTCCAAGAAAGGCACGTCGACGGACGTCGAATGCTTGAGGTTGATCGATAGAATGATCCTGTTGAACTACAAAGACGAGCCGAAAGACGACCAAAAGGGTAAGCCGATACTGCAGCGTACCACGGCGGTGCATTTCGTGGTCAGGCGCGATTTACCCATAGAGAGCTCCAAAATCCGTGCCCTCTTTCAAGTGTACGACAGATTCGAGGCGAACTACACCGACGAGACGGGCTTGAGTCACTTTCACGCGGCTTGCCGATTCGGCTTCTGCGACGTGGTCGAGCGATTCATCGAGGCCGGGCAGAGTCCGGATTTTCGACCGTTACAAACGGTAGACCCACCGCTTCACTTGGCTCTCCACCACGGCCACTGGAGGACGGCCGAATTGCTCTTGACTCGAGGAGGCGCCGATCCAACCGCGACCAGCAGAGACGGATTAACGGCCTTGCACGTGCTCAGTCAGAATCGGGAATGCGATACGAGCTTGGCGCAGACGTTGCTCCGGGGCGACCTTGATGTGAGTGTCGACGCTTCGGACAAGTGCGGTAATACACCGCTTCACTTGGCCCTGCATCATGGCAACGCGAAGATGGTCGAGTTGCTGTTGAGGCACGGCGCGAACCCCAATTCCATCAACGAGGCGCGGATGGCTCCGGTGCACGTCATCTCGAGGCGGGACCCCTACGGCAACCTGGGGGAGCTGTTCTTCGGCGTCGCGAACGAGATGCGTCTGTCGGTGCGGGTCGACGCCCAGGACAACAAGGGCAACACGGCGCTACACTGTGCCCTGCAACGAGGACTCAAGCAAGTGGTTGTTCTGCTGCTGAGACACGGCGCGGATCCGAATATGGCCGGCGCCGGCGGCGGCAATTGCCTGCACATTCTCTGCCAGCAGCAGTACGACGGAGAGCTCATCGACGCCTTCTTCGAAGTCATCAACGACAGACGCCAGCTGATGGAGGTCAACGCCCGGGACGAGCACGGCGATACTCCACTGCACTTGGCTCTACGACGCAACGACAAGGCCATGGCCGAACTCCTGCTAAGGAGCGGCGCCGATGCGCTTCTGGCCAACGACGAGGGAGACACACCCCTGCTCATGATGAGTCGAAATCACGACGAGTGCCACGACCTACTGGATATACTGATTGGTCTCACCTTGAATCAACCTCAGGTACAGGTCGATGTCGTGGGCAGTTCGGCCGCTAGGGTTACCAGCACCGTCGTCTGAGGAATTTTTTCGTCCACGCATTATTTAAACAAAGAGATAAGCAATGATTGGCCGGCAAAATTGTTCTTGAAAATTTTAACAAGATTCATTTCGATTATTTTTTATTGATAAGCACACGATCATTTTTAATAACAGATCTTAACATGTACATACATAATTGTTATCCAATCTTATCGAGACCTTATATATCGAACGTAAATGTAAAAAAAAGTTACACGATAGCCAATTGTAAAAGTTTGAATAATGTAAGGAAAAAACGATCATTGATAATTATCAACTCACTAATTAATTTTTTAATAAACCAACATTAAATGGAAAAATTTCAAACGTATTGTCTTTATTTCAAGAATATATTCGTCGTCAAATATTAAATAAATATAAAATAAATATTTGTAATATAATTATAATTAATAATTAATAATAATCATTCAACAACATTAATATCTGATAATTACCAGAGTCTACTCAAAATATGACATGCCTTATACTTTTTTTAACGGATACGCCTTACTTTTCGGAATGTGACTTATACCTTTATTATAATTTAAAATGAAAATTTGATAAACATGAAATGATTTGATGAAATGTTTTTCTTTAGAAAAAACTACAAGATTGATATCTGACTCCATGATCTGTTACCTTTCTAACCGGAAATCAATGACACGACGTAATTTAATCGTAGGAAGGATTAAATATTTGACAAAAAGAAGTATAGAAGCGTTACAATCAATGTATTCTTTTGAGACTCGAAAATTCGACCACGGCTTATTTTTGGTACATGGCTTATTGTAATGTCATTGCGACAAACAGTAAAATAATGACATTAAGCATTGGGGACTTCGTAAAGCGTCGCCTTTGCATATGTAATCCGATACACGTGTTAATTAGTATATGGCGTGACTAGGAACGAAAGTTGAACTTCCGTCCCTGTGAGGTTATGTATCGCAGAGCTCGGAGAGACGGCCATTGGTTCGATGGGATTAATTTCCCATCGAAATCATGTGGCTCATATTTTTTCTAGGTTCATTTAGATGCTTTTCTGAAGAGTTACAAATTGAGCAATTTGGCGCGCTCGCGCGCACCGCTGGAGACTTGACGTGAAATGACTCATATACCTCCATTGAAACCATATAACTTTTATTTATTATAATAATCGATTTAATCACATCAAATTCAAATTCAAATTCGCTCGAAAATTTGTCTAGTACATAGATCATTCCTTCTTCAAAATGTGTATTATATTCATTTCAATCCATTTATAACCTACCTATTTGGTCGTATTTGTTTATCTTACTTGGGCGATTTTTGTTTATGTTTTGGGCGCGAAATCGCCTCAGTTGAGATTAAAACGATACCACCGTGTCGGACGATAGCGCCACCAGACCGCGGCACATTTAGTTACCAAGCGGTAAGATAAGAGTCTCAAATTTCTTTCAGTGTATAAAAAAAGAAAAGTAAAAGACAAAACTTAATCAATTTTTATCCAATCTTTCATCACCGCCAAAAAATCCGAAAAGCTTCCTTGTAACGTCAAATAACATAATAACTCTTCAATTTTTTAAATGGGCCTTCGAGTTTAACGAGCGCGAAAAACCCGTGAGTATAGAAAATCGAAAAAATTTCTGGACGCGCGAACGACATCGGACGCAACGATTTTTCGTCCAAGCCAAACAGAAAGAAAAACCAATACGCGTGCCATTCGATTTTGCACAAAGAATCGCGTTCATCTGCCTTACAACGCGACTCGATGTTTTATAATTAAAACGTCAATCGACGCGGCTTTCCTTTGCAACGTTGTAATACAAGCTACGCACACATAGTACATAGGAACGGTACGTGGAAAAACGTCTCACATGAAACATTATACAACATTACTTCTGGATGTGCAAGCGCAAAGGCTCGCGGCGTTTGTATGTTACTATTATTGCTATTGTTATTATCATTATTGTACACATGGTGCGCACCTATGTACGCCTGCAGTAGTGGCATATAGCGCGGCGCGCGGTCGCTTTGATAGAAGCCGCGAGAAGTACATGTCGATAGCAGTAGGTGTACCACCAGCGCGCACATACCTCTATATATAACACACGTACGCGTGCGAGTGTGTGCATGCGTATATACAGCGGCAACAGCAGATGAGAGAGAGAGAGAGAGAGAGAGAGAGGGAGTACAGAGAGTGAGATGTCAATTGCACGGAGACTGCATTTGAACCCTCTCCTCACTCCTTAGCGCTCGCTCGCGCCACCAACAGCAGGCAGCAGCAGCTATATACACCTCGTCCTCTCGCTCTTTCTCTATCTCTCTCTCTCTCTATACATGTACCACCCGTTTATACATATATATGTAGGTACGTATACGACGGTAGTATAAAGCTCCGAGGCGCGTCGATCCGCATACACAAACCTATATAAACACGCCGTACGGTGCGTACGTGTGTATGTGTTATATGCACGCCAAGCTGCCACACAACTGCTGCTGCTGCTGCTGTTGCTCCGACTCGTTCAATTCAGCCGTCAGCCGCAATTTATAATGAGAGACACGATCCAACTCGAACCTTATTGCGCGGGCGGGCGGGCACGCGATTTTACATTTAGAGAGGCCTCGAGGCTCCACGCAACACATCTATGTATATACGTATAGCACGTTCGTATACACAGACACGAGCAAGTTCTATACGTGCTCTCGCGTTAAAGTACGGAACCGCGCGCTGCGCGTACAGCACGAGCTTGCGGGGGGATGTGACGAAGCGTCGTCCGAAATTTATCGGCTGGCCCAAAACTGGAATGGATGATAAAACATTTTCCATTCGCGATAAAACTATCGCGCCTAATGGTAGCGATCAATTTACGATCGCAGCAAATATAAATCCTTTGCGAAAAGCACGCATCAGCAACGAGGTGCTAATAAATCGACTTTGGCGATTGCGCCTTTGTGCGATAATGGTGTACGGGTGAGTGATAACCATATAAAAACGGTGAACAGGTGAGCTCGCACGCACAGAGGCCCAGAATGTTAAATGTATGATATATTTTATACGTAAAGCTCGGCGAGGCGGCCCAATATACCATACTAATACTACAGTATATATAACAGCTGTTTCCGCACGCGTGTTGTTTTGTCCTTGTTGTGTGTGTGTGCGGTGCGCGCAAACTTTGGCTTTGCCGCTGCACCGCTGCTCGTGTATATATATACATCTTCTACATATCTATATCAACGTAGAGATGCAGCAGCAATACGGTGCACCGCATTATGTGCAATATATTTATATATACGTATACACAATACGCAATGTGCAATGTGTCGCCTGTAACGTATAGGTACACCACTTGCAGTGTAAAACGTGTACCCCGATACGTTCGCAACATTCTACACGTAAGCGTGGCCCGCATAGGATATTTATTTACTCGAGATCGAAAAAGTATGCGGCTAATTATCGTTATCGTAATTATAACTATAATTATTATTATTATTATTATCATCATAATTTTTTCATGCATAAATGCAGTCTAATATTGTAAGCTTTTTTCACCAGTCGTTAATAATGCGACAAAAAGTCTCTCAAGCCATAATAACTTCTTTTTTTTCTCCAGGCAAATCAGAAATGATAAAAACTGTTTTGAAATCTGCGATGACATGCAGCTACCGATGCAGGTTTCAATTATTGGTAGAGTATATATACTGACAAAATTTTGCGCTGAATTCGTGTTCACCCGTGGTCTTTTATTGATATCACACTATAGTGTCTTATCTTTATATTCAACAGTTAATTTGAAGAAAGTTCACGGCTACGGTGACAGGAGTGTAGGTTCACGGTGAACGCGATTGTCCAGCACTTCATGTTGTCGGGGCGATTGGACTATATTGGACTATAACTTGTAAAAAGTTCACGACGATGGTGACAGGGATTTAGGTTCACGGTGAACGCAATTATCAAGCACTTTTTGTTGTCGATTCGACGATTGGACTATAGGGTAGTCGGACCAATCAATGACCGGGTACCAGTGAATGACCATTTTAGAAAATATTATATGAAAAACAATTAAAAATATATTTGTATGGACGTAATTCGATTCTTCAGTGAACGATGCATCTTATTTTCTATGTTTGATCATAATTTAATGAAGAAAAACGATAATTATTGCATATCCAAAAGTGATCATTTACTGGTCGAAAGCGGTCAATCACTGGTATAAGTACCCTATTTAAGTAAAATCTTACATAAACGAGCCTATTTTCTATATAATATTCGAAAATATTGTAAAAACTTTGTTATTAAAAAAAAAAAAGATTTATAAAATATTACAGTAAAATAATCGTGATTTATTGTACTTATCAATATTATTTACAAAGGTAACAAAAATATCCCTTATCAGTTATGCCTAGTAACAACATAATTCTTATTAACTAGTTCAACAAATAACAATGGTGAAGTTTTGGGTAGTGATTGAACCTCTACATAAGTGTGGCGATTTGTTTCAATGACTTCATAAGCATGAATATGTGTATCAAATGATACAGTTTCTAATAAGTTTACACGGAAAAAAAATTAATTTATCCGTTTTGTATGTGTTATAGCCAGCCAGCTAATAAATAGTGCCATGCGTAGCGGTAATCATCCCGAGTGTTGGCTTTACGGAGGTTCTGACATGTGCATTGTCGATATCGCAATTTACCGTCACGCGTGAAGCCAAATTCTTGTCACAGTGACTAATGATTCCTTCAAAATATTAGTATACTATTTTGTGTTCACTGTATCATAAATAATTGTTCATTTGATGAATATAAGATGTATTCACGCTGTAGAGATCTATTATTCAGTGCAAAATTTTTTCAGTATACTTAGCTCAAGAATGAAACACACAATCGATTACAGAATAATATTTTACATCGACCAACTCGTTCCAAGAAACTCCTACACAATTCGCTTTAGGTCATGCGATACCTAGATATGTTTACTTAAAGCTCAGACGTGCGACTCGACAATCGACAATTGACAATCG